GGTGCGGTGAGGGGGATAGCGGGAGGCGGAGCCGACTCGAAAATCGGCCAAAATGTGCATTTCGTGCCGAGCCCTGATTTATTATATAAGCATTTCAAGACAAAAATATTTTTTGTTCAAATATGTTTATTAAATTTTAGGTTAGATTAGGTCAGGTATTATTATTTGATTAGTAAATATATATTTTATATCATATTATTGAATTTTACACTATATCAGAATGTAAAATTCAATTTTTCTTGTCTTATTCTCTGCCGAACTTGCGATCTAATCTTATTCTGCATTACCATGCCGATAAGCAGATCCCTGCGGGTGAGCATGCCCCTGCCGATAGGCAACCCGACTTACTGATGTGTAGGTATCAGAAGCACCCTGTACATAACCTTAAATATACGTATGAAAGTATATCGTACCTTTTTTATGATGAGACATAAAGGTTGGGTTACGATGTGCCGCAAGAAAGAATGTATTTTTGAAGGTTTCTTTTATTAAACCTGATTTAAAGTCGTGTTGCAACATATATTGTCAATATTAAAATTCTATAATATGCATTATATAACATGAACAATAGATTTTCAATACTGACAATGTACATATATCAAAACGTGATCTATAAAATTATTATTATTAAAGAAGTTTTCCTCAAATATTTCTTTCTATATTCATTATTTTGTGAAACTATAAAACTTGTTATTTAATTTTTCAGATATCGTTCAGAAACATTATCCTGATACCTCAAATGATCGCATTGGTAGTTTCATTAAAGAGTGGCTGCATCGTTTGCCGGAAATATATGATAAAAATTCGAGAAATATACAAGTAGAAGCAGCTGGACCTCGTACAAATTGATTAAACTGGTCTTATATCCTAAGCGATATGTATACACCACAGCAAAAGAAAACAATGATTTTTAAAATATTTATATTTCATTTATATTTCAATTATAATTATAGAAACTATAGTAAATATAAGTTTTAGTAATTATAATCTCAATGGCCAATATGCTTTTATTCCCTTATGGAAAAACTGGATCAATGAAAATTATTGAATTCGATACTATTGGATTAGTGAAAAAACTGTTTAAACAAATAGTAGCTACGGTTCACCTAATGATTCGAAACTTTTGTTTTTATTGGTATCGGTTAGTTTAAAAAATTTTTTAATTGAGATCAAACACTATGTATTCGCATTCGGTGTACAATAGTGTATTTAAATTTCTCAATTATTTCCAATTGTCTACTTGTTTCAATATGTTTTTTCGCAAGTCTAATAACTTTTTCTATAAGGATATTGTCTCACCAATCAAACCAATTTCTTAAGAATAATTTTCGAATTGATAATTAAACAGTAAAATTTTTTTGCACTTACCAGTAATTAAACAGTAACAATTTTTTGCTTTTACCTTTGAATTTTATTTTAGTTTATGAATTTTAGTATATGAATTATGGTTTATATAACTATATAACTGATGCGTTTTTACCTATGAAATTTTATCTTTGTTTTTTTATTTTGATATATTAAAATCCTGGTAAAATCAAATTTCCTTCATTTTATGTAAATCTCGTAATTCTGTTTGTCTCGTAATTTTATATAAGTAATATGGATCTCATGTCTTATGTTTATCTTGTAATTTTTATAATTAAAAAATAAAAATATTGAATTGTACTGTATATTTTCATTTATTAATTGTCTATGAGACATTCGAAGTAAGTCTATGAATGGGACCATTGGATATACTGTATTTTCGTCTAGACAGATGTCCACTGGACGTCCGAAGGACATTTAGTCCGACAATGGCGTCTTCAGGATATCCGTATTCGTCCATTGGATGTCTTTATAGGATGTCGTATGAACGTACTTCGGCCGGACATTGGGACATAATCTGTACATCCCATGGACAGCTGACGGACGAATATCGACATCCCACGGATATCCGTATTGGACCAATCGGACGTACTTCGGACGTCCATTGGATGTCCATGTGTTATGTGGGTTAGCGCATGCGCATTGTACAAACGCTGAGCAGCCTTAACTGACGTTAACATTTCATAGTACTATAAGACCGCCTAATCTAATAAAAACGATGTTAAGAAAGTTGTAAGGAGAAAAGGAAGTTTTTATTAAAGAAACATAGTGTGTTTATGAATAATAATAAGTTTTGTTTTACAGCCATATCATTAAACAATCATATCATTCAGAGAGATAGCATTAGCGAAAGCCACTATAGTGACGTACAGTAGCTAAGAAATTAAAAGAGGAATTCATTACTATAATTACTGACGAGATATTATTAAAGACCGACATTCTTAAGGTGGAAGCACATAAAATTGCAGAAGCCATAAGCAGAATCTAGATGCCATAGAGCATGCGTATGGTTTCCGAATTCCAATCTACATAAAAGTCCATAATACATAGCCATAGGCATAAAGATAGTTCATTGTAGCCGGTTCGAAGTGAATCGCATAGGACTTATCCACCTGCACAATTATCTGTAAAATTTATGAAAAGCTGCGCCGAGCTTTGTTAAATTGGTACAAACGGCTTCATTTTCGGAGCC